AGTGTGTGTGAACCGCTGTTCTTGCAGTTTGGAGCCCAATGCCTAACCCCCGGTGCCACCAAAGCCCCTCATAAACTAAGAAGGAGGAATTGACCATTGAAATATTTTCTAATTTTACCAATGAAGATATTTCACTATTTTGTGTTTTCCTTTAAAAGTTTTTTTTCTCTTCACTTGTTTTAAAAGTGCTCTTGTGTCTTAAATAGAAGTTAAACCCACACCAAGATATTAGCCCAGGAAGGTATTATTCAAAAAACTCAATAGGAGGGTTCTGCCATCAACTGGCTGTTGACTGTCTTCCGATTGAAGGCCTACAGATTTCCTTGCAGATTTGAGTGTGACCTCAATCTATCTCCTTTCCCCTATTTCTCACTGAGCTCTTTAAATTTTGACAATAGTTAGCCTAGATCAAGATCCCAGATTTTGCTCTTAAAGGAAGCCTGTACTTTTTTATACATCGGCTGGAAAGCTAATAGGTTCTGTGGATAATATGTGGACAATTAAGAGCTCCTATGATTTTATTTGCCCTGATTCCTAGATATTCTAAAAATATCTGTTTCACATACAAAAGACTCACTAATATTTGAAGATTCTCTGTGCAAAGAAAAGCCAGGCTAAACAAAGGTCAAACAGGGAAAGGGTTTCTAAAAAAGTATTTTTGCAATTTGAACAGTAGAATTGTTACGAAATGCTACTATTAAAAAGTTCTCGTATACATTATGGACTATCCACTTAGGTCATGACTCCATAGTATGTAGATTTGCATGAACATGTATGTTCAAATACATATTTTCATTTCAATGGATAAAGCTTTATGTGTTGCAAATGTTCTAGCCTATGATATTCTTGCTCGTTTCAGCAGAAATCCAAATTGCATGTGTTAACATCTTTTTTTCCTAGTTCAAATGTCTCAGGGTCAGAGTTTAAGAAGCTTTAGGATGTTGCAACAGCATGTTATTAGGAGAATTGCAGTTTCAAGAATTGTTATTTTTAGGTGCTGCCTAGTTGGTGAAACTCATGAATCCAGTAGGGTATTGGAATGCTAGCTCCTTGCCAGCACCCCAAAAGGTGCTGGGATTTGTGGTTGCACCCTCCAACAGCTGGGTGTCCTGAGAATAGAGTACAGTCCTTGGGTAGGAACCCCCTTCCCGCCCCTCTTTGTTTTTTAATCCTGCCCTATTGGCAGCCAGTGCAGGGGGCAGTATGTTAATCAGAGTGTCTAGACTCCAGGCACCAGATTCTGATTTTAGAGATTTCATTTTCCAACAGTGTAAATCACAGTGTGGGGGTCAGATGAGCTCTACTTGTCGAGCTAGAACAACTGCGCACTACCCAGATGTTTGCTCCTGTGTTTTGATAGTATACTGAATAGCTTTCCTTTTGATCTTAAACGGATATATTATTTTAAAAGAAAGCCAAAAAAAATCTTAGATATTAGAGCTGGGAATGACTCTTCGCTTCTTATAATCTTTGTAGACATGTTGTCCCCTAGTCTAATTCCTTTAGTTCTTAAGGAAAACCAGCATTTCAGGATTCTAGCTAAAAGCTGGTCTTAACCCACTGCGTTTCACTCAGTATCTATCTACCTGCCTACCAAATAACAACGTGGTAACCTTGACTGTGAGTAGCAAATAGACTCATAATTTTCTTGCAAGAGGACCTGGAGCCTTAAGCAAGAGGGCAGAGTCTGCGTGACTAAAACATCCCAACTTCCTCTTTCATAAGGCATCACATGATGGGGTACAATTACAATTCTTGCCATGTCCCTGTGAATTGCAGCCGCATTGCCTCACCCTAGAAGCCCTGCTTCTGTGTGTGGAGGAGGCGCTTGCTCTAACTGCTGCAGCAGCCGCTTTGGAAGGAAGCCAAGTCAAGCTGCAGCAGGAGGCCGGCTGGTGGGTGGAAGACAAAAACAAAGCTATGTTTACTTAGCATACATCATAGCTTCTCAGCTACATGAAAGGGCAAGCAGGAGGAAGGACTTTTGATACAATATAAGAAATTGCTGCCCTTAATGCAGAACCAGCATTAACTCTCTCAATCCCAGATCCTTTTATGGCAAGAGACCCAAGAAACAAAAATAGCTTCTCCATTTTCCTGCAGGCATTTCATTAGGGAAGTTACAACAAGTCCGTTTTGACATTAAACTGGCAGTGTACAATAAAAAGGAAACGTCCTTTGGGAGGTGAAGAGCTCTGTTCCACAAAGACCCCGGCTTACTAGTTTCTTTCAGGCTGAATTTGTATTTCAGCATTTCTATTTTGGAACGGTAACCACTCCCTTGAGGGGATTACATTGCCACCTTGCAGGTCAATTACTATAATTAGTCCATGCTTCTAATGGCGAATTGTGTTTTCTTTGAATGCTTCAGACCCTGCCTAGTGGGACAATTCCTTGGATGATTTGAGATGGCTGGTCTCTTTGCAGCACACGGATTAGCTCATCTTCTTTGGGTGATGGCCAGGTTGAAGTCAGATGCTGAAATCAGTGGTGCGGGGTCTCCAAGGATGACTGCGGGTACCGGCAAGCAGTGAAGGTTTGCTACCAGCTACAGCTGGGCATGGCACTGACGAAATCCACTCTAACCAGCTCCTCTCAGGAGGCGGGTTCCTTTCCACTTCAGGCATCAGACAGGATTGTAGCTCCAGGGTAAGGGCAGGAAGAGGAGCTATTGGGCAGGGGGGGAGGGAGGAGGGATGCACCTTTTCTGGAAAGCCCCAAGAGAAAGCTCGTTCAAGATTAGTCTGTAAAAACATTCAGTGTCTGGCATTGTTTTCGATGCCATTTTGGAAAGGGTTTTTTTTTTTTTAATTTCACGTAGTTTTTTTTAATGCAGCTCCCTTTTGCCGTTTCTCTGAGGGTGTTTTTCCCCTTCCTTGTGGTTAATCCTTTCAAGCAACCTGGCATTTTCAAAAGCAACAGGAGAGAAATGTCAGCAGGATTTTTTTTCTCTCTCTCCACCTACCAATCCCGTTATAGGGAAGATCATATAATGAGTAGCCTGTTCCTTCAGCCCGTAACCAGTTAATTCTTGTCTGAGGCAGAGAAGTGGGTCTGAGTTCCCAACAATGCAGCTCCAGCGGCAGCCCTGCTAAGAGTGGAAGTGTAAAAATCCCTGGCTGGGAGTGACTAAAAACCACGTTTATTGTTAGCTAGACTGAGACCAAACTGTGACCTATCATAAAACAAATCAGCTCCTCCTTCTGATCAAAGGGTGACCCTCCAGTGGTCCAGTCTGGACAGTCTGTCTGGGAGCACCCTTCTGGAGAACCTCCGTCCCTACAGGGCGGCCGTGCAGCCCGGCGGGTTGGCGCCTAGGGAGGGGCCGGCACAGGCCTGATCCTGTGAGCAGCAAGCATGAAGCCGCCACCCCCACCCCTGACGGCACCCTGCGAGCGCTGGCGAACGACGTGGCCCAGTCCCCTCGGGTCGCCACTCCGACCTTCGAGACTGCCGAGCCAGGGCCAGCGCCGCGGTTGGCCTGCTGCCCTGCGTAGCTACCTCGCGCTGCGAGGAGTACACAAGTTTAGCTCGGGTGAAGGCGGGCCCAGAAATAGCCGACGGGGGCGGGGCCTGCGCGGTGACGCGAGGGCGCTGGCTATAGATCGCGCAGTTTCCCTTGATCCCTGGAATGTGCATTTCATTTAATGAGGCAGCAAGTGCCAATTGCAGCGTCACGTCCGTGCGGAGCATGCGCACTGCGCCGCGGCTCGCAGCCCGGTCGGCGGCGACGTCACGGCCCTCGCCCATTCTAACCTACATAGACGACCGGCGACGTACCCTCTCGGGCGCGCCCGCCAGGTCCCCGGCCGCCACGCCTCCTCGCCCCCCACCAGCACCGCCCTCCCGGGCCTCGGCGCGGCCGCGCGCCGCCGGGGTAGTCGGTCCTCAGTCCGGAAGCCCGCAGGAAACGTGAAGGTGGCCGAAAGGGAAACTGCGCTTGTCCACTCGCTTGCTCGACCGCAGCCATCTGGGAAAGGACACGCCAACGAGGTTTCCGTTTGCGCGACGCTTCCTTTTCATTCCAAAGGGGCCTCAGTAGGGTATTTGCGAGTCAACGGAAAGCATGTGAAAATGGCCATGTGTTTTGAAAACACTCCCGCCTTTTGTGGTAAGAAACGTGAAGCGACAAGCAGGACCCGTATCTTTTCCCAAAACACACACACACCAAAAAAAAA